AGAAAATATTCATCTTAGTCGTCATCGACTATTTCACGAAGTGGGTGGAGGCCGAGCCTCTTGTGAGAATAACGGCCCAACAGGTTCAGATGTTTGTATGGAAGATAATATGTCGTTTCGGCCTCCCCTGGACGATCATGACCGACAACGACAGGCAATTCATTGACAAAAATCTTGGTTCGTTCTATCAAAGCCTAGGGATTAAACATGTTACGAGTTCGGTGGAGCATCCCCAGATGAACGGATAGGCAGAGGCTGTGAATAAAACCATAGTGGTCGAGCTTAAGAAAAGGTTCGGAGAGAAGAAGGGTGCATGGGTGGACGAACTCCCTGAAGTCTTGTGGGCATACCGATGCACCCCACACGGGACCACCGATGATACCCCGTTCACCCTCACTTATGGCTCCGACGCCATGTTATCAATGGAGCTAGGGGAGCTTTCCTTGAGACGACATCCACAAGATCCTCTTCTCAACGACGAAGAACTCAAGGCGGAGTTGGATACTATGGATGAATGCCGCAGTTCTCAAGGCTGAAGCTTGCAGGCGAATGGTGTAGAGGAATTACAACACCGAGGTGCAGCCCCGAAGCTTCAAGGTAGGCGACCTGATATGGACGAAGACGGGAGACGCAAGAAGAACGACCACCCATGGGAAACTCACGGCAAAATGGGAGGGACCCTTCAGGTTGATTGAAGACCTTCAGAACGGAGCATACCGTCTTTGCCACCCGAACGGCAAGACCGTCCCCAATACGTGGAAAGCTTCCCACCTAAAATTTTACTTCAGTTGAATTGTCTCTTGCAATGTCTTTTTCATTTCAGATATCTAATACAATGCTCCGGCTTTCCACTACTCATATTACTTAAACTATTGGTGCATTAACTTGAGGACGGGTGGTGAAAAGCGAGTTCATAAGTATAACCATTGCCACCCGAAAACTAACTAAGCTGAATGAGTGGTGAAGGGCGAGTTCATAAATAGAACCACTGCCACCCGAAAACTAACTACGTCGAACGGGTGGTGATGGGCAAGTTCATAAATAGAACCACTGCCACCCGAAACCAAAACTTACCGAACGGTCGAAACCCAGCAAAAAATCTTAGCAGCATAACTTTCCAAAAAGCATGTATGACAAATATCGTAGGTAAAAGATAAAGTAGACGATCCGATGATAAAGCACAATTTAAAGACTTCAAAAGTTCATTGATAGAATTTAGGTTTGTAGTTACATTCAGGAGTGAACGGCCACCGGCCGGTACACAAAATGTTATAATTCCCACAAAAAGCAAAAAAAAAAAGCAAAAAACACTCCCCCCACGCTCAGTCATTCATCATCGTCCTCGGCCGGACGGACATCTTCATCGCCTGCCGCCTTTTCGTTGATCGGCGAAGCGTCTATCGGGATCATGTTGCCATCATAAACATCTTGGCTAATGTCGAAACCGGCAACCAAAGGGTCCGTCCCCAGCAGAAAGGCGGCCTGACGCAGAGCCTTGTTGAAACCTTCTTCATGCTCAATCTAAACATTGTTGTTCAGAGTAACAATGGCCTCGTTGGCCTTCATCAGCTCGTCGGCCAGGCAATCTACTTGCTCTTGCAGCTCCTTTTTTCTTGCAGTCAATCTCTTTGCCTCCAGTTTCAGCCGTCCAGCCTCCTCCGCTATTCGGTCACGCCCGGTTCGAGCATCCTTCAGTTGTTGGACGGTCGTGCTTAGCTCCAGGCGCGTCTCGTCCAATTTCTCTTGTAACGCCGACCGTTTCTTCTCGCATTCTTGATACTCAAGAGTGAGACTTCCATCTGGGTCTGAAGATCCTCCACAGTCTTCTTTTTAGTGACCAGCTCTGCTTGGACGTCCCTAGTGTTCTTACGGCAACAAACTCGCGTAGATACCATGCCAACATTGCCCCCCGGCTCGCGAATTCTAAGGCAGCCTCAGTGATGTCCTTTTTCAACATAGGTCCCACCACCGCTCGTTGCGACAAGCTCATATGAAAGCTCACGCGACCGCTAACATTGAACGTCTGGTCGAAGAGACCGCCCGGTAGGGGGTGAAGAGTGCTACCCTCCTGGCGACTCTTCTTCGAGGACGACTTCTCTCCCTCTTTGGATTTCCTCTTCATATCTAGAGGGGTAGCAACAGGGATGACGACCGCCTCAGACGTCTCCAGGTTTACCACGGGAGGTAGTTGAGTGGCAATTGTCACGGGAGGATGTTGAGTGGCAATTGTCACGGGAGGATCCGGCTGCGGCACCGTCCTCGATTGAGAGCCTGTCAGTGCATGGCTTGATCCGGCCGACCGGGGATCCCTCCTTCGAGAAGACGACACATAACTAGTCTTGCAGGCTGGTGGGAGAGACATGATATCTGAAAAGGAAACATAAATTTAGCTAAGTTAATAGGAACATAACAAGCTTATTGTGGCAAACGCCGTACCGAACGCCATTTTGTAAAAATTCTCATGCCCAAGGCATTCAACTACGTCTCGGGCGGCGAGATAGGGCGTCAATGGTCTTAACCGCCTCTATCTCAACAGGGGTCATAGTGCTGATCGACACAACATTTATCTTGGTAGGATCCCTCGTCCAATAAAAAGGGAACAAGGGACCGCCCACTTCAGTATGAAATTGGGAGCGACCACCTTCTTTGATTATTACTTTGAAGTAGTGGTGCTTGAAATTTTTGAAAGACTCCGAGTACGGCTTGAACAGACAACAATCATGGATGAAAGTTAAAGAGACGCAGCCCCGCTTAGGAATCGGCCGGACGTTAAAGTAGTGGAAAAAGATGGGAACAATGGGAGTAATTGCTAGCACCGAACACATCGCCACGAACGCTTTAATACAGGTCTAACCATTAGGGTGTAGTTGTGAGCGGGCGACGTTCAGCCTTCGAAGCACGACCGACTCGAACGTAGTGAACGACACCCGAACGAACATCTGGTTGAACAGATACGTATATATAAAGAAAAAGTCTTCAGTATGAGTCCCCTTTCAATGAATGACTCGCTCGTTAGGATGACTAATGCCGAGACGGAACAAACGGGCATCTTCCCCATCCCTCACTATGTACGAACGTTCCGCCCACAACCGCAGTTCCTCCCGGGTGGAAAAGTCGGACTCATAGGACCCCACTTCGTGGGATGCCCAGTCGTATCCCCCAATCACGGACCACCCACCGACCGGTTCAGCCCGTTCAACGTCTATGACTATGCCCCATAAAGAAGGAAGAGCAACATCCCATTTATAACCCTCTCGTCGCCACCCGTGGAAGACTTTGGCCTCGATCCCCCCTTTTGCTTGGGCCTTTCAAGATAAGATGAAGACATCGAGCTAGGAGACGACGACCTGCTCCCGTAGGATGACTCCCCGCCTCCCCTGCCCGTCGACTCATCAGAAGAAGAAACACAAACAATAGACATTTATTAATTACCTTGGAAAAAGAATTTTCAGCCTAAAAACAGAAGAAAAATAGTGTGTGCGAAAGTGACTGAGCCCCACAAAATTTTTGAAACCGCTAATCCACATCCACTGTTCAAATCTGGCACGATCAATGGCTAAGATCAAGCGACGATCCCGCTACTCGAGACAAACAACTTATGATAGTATGACACGTGTTTTCTTGCTCAAAGTCAAATTTAAAAAGCGCCGACCGACCACTTGTTACTATAAAACCTGACGACAACTAATTGTCTAGGGCTTGGGAGGCCTGATGTACCAGATGACCCCCGGACGGTCCTAGACAAAACACATGGGATGTTCGGCAGGACTCGAGCACTCAGAACGGACAGACATGATAGGTAGGTCTGCAGAGGTGATTAAGGTAAAACATCGATTAGAGGGTTGGGCTCGGGATTGGGCCATGATTAAGGCCCTGCTAATCCTAGGCCCATGACCAATACTATAAATACAAGTCAAAGGTAAGAGGTAGGCAGATTCATTAATTGCACATTTATTGCGGTACTAAAACAATCGATCAAACCTTTTACTGACTTAAGCATCAGAGCACCTTTAACAGGTACCCTCCCAGACGCACAGGACGGACGAACATCGACCTACAGAAGGAAGGATCACGAGAAGAGACCAGACGGACGTAGAAGAAAGCTTGCGGATTTAGGTAACTCGACCCATACAGAACATATTCTTTTCTTTATCTCTTCAAAATGCTTTGAATGTTAGGTACTCTCCCTCTCATTTACAAAAACTAAGATTCTCATACTTTTCCTAAATTCTTTTAAAAAATATCTAGGTTTCATTAATTCCTCACCTAAATATAACACATGGAAAAAATAATTATTTAAGTTTTCCTTACAAACATTAATTGGAAAAAATGGCATACTTGGTGGGATTGTGTTTGATTATTTTTATAAAATATGTAAATTGGTTAGTTTAAATATGTTAAATAATACTTATTATGTTTCATGCACTAGTGGAAAAATGACATTTTATAACGTACAAAAATGACTTTTTATAACGTAGTTACTGGGGACATAGTTTCGGGCGATATAGTAAGTCTGCACATTTTATAACGTAGCAGAAATTTACGTTATAATATGTTGAACATATTACATCGTAGTTTCTGAAGTCCGTCATAATATGTGCAGTTTATTATGACAAATTTTCATTTGTGCGTTATAAAAGATGGGAGGTATAATGACGTAAAAGTTTTTGTACGTTATAATATATGATATATTATTACGTATATATTTTTGTACGTTATAATATGTGATCAACTTATCATAACGTACATTGTTTAGTACGTCATAATATGTTTTTTTTTTTAAAAAAAATTGATTGATTATTACATTTGACATCCAAGAAAATTATAATAATATTCCTGTACATCTCATTCAATCAATTTATAATCAATATAGCTTCAAATAAACAAATTTAATGATACTAACAAAATAGAATTCATTTCAAACATTAAATCATCTAATAATTTAATACAATTTATACATAAAACTATATATTAAATCCAAATATTACATTAATGTACATACACTATTGAATTCTAGCCAAATTTCTAGTAACACTTAAAATAAAAGAAGCCCAGTTCCTTCCAATGTCTTCCATGTCTACAGCTCCCATGGGAGATGAATCATTAAAGATCTACAAATAAAATAATAGAATTAAAATTGTAATGAAACACATTATGAAAATACATTTAAACCAGCAACTTATACAACATCTTGTAATATGAAGAGTCTCTTACTTGAAATCATAGTTGTTCCCTGCAATTGTTGAGACAATCAGCACTTTTGTTCCAATGACGAAAAAAGTAATCACGAAAGTAATAATAACTACAGATTACAACCTCTACAAAATCCACGACAACCCAACCAAGGTGGACAATGAACTTCTTGCAGCTACATGCACAACAATTGATCCTCCCATGCTTCAATAATGAAACAAATTTTGATCCATGACTTATAATAATAAAATACAACAAAGTGAAATGTAATTTATACATGTGGAAAACTGCTCATGCTCAGTACACCAAATATATTCATAGGAAAAAAATTCAAAGAAAATAAGTGAAAAATAAAGGCAAGTGGTGCAGACCCAAAAATATAAAAATAAACACAAATATCTGCAGATGTGAATTTAAAGGGGTAATACAAAACAATTATACAAAATATCCTTGTAATCATGCCATATTACAGTCTTATAGCAAATGCATTATGGTTATGAGCTATGAAGCATGATGCACAGTGATTAAAGGATGATAACTCTGGTCAGGTGTAGTAAAGCTATGGTGAAGAGGCAGGTAGCAAATATCAGGGAAAAATGTATGACCTTTGACACTTACGGATTTCCTGTATCGAACAGAGTACATAAGGTTCTTCTTTAATCAACTTAGTAGCATATGACTTGGTTTATTGAGCTTAAAATATTACTTCAGATTGAAGTTATAACTGTTTCAAAATCGTATAATTTTTTAAGCATCAAACTTACTTTAAGTTGAAGACCCTATAACAAGAATCCAAGAAAATTAATTTAAGAAACATAATCACCTGTGACCGACAAGAATCATTGCTCCCACTTGCTGCATAACATAATAATCGTTGCTTTAGACCATATTCATTTATTAAGCTGAAAACATAATGGCTGATATCGCAGGGTAAATGATTTACAACTTCATAGTTAATCATAAAAAGAATAACAATATAGATTAGAACATGAAATGCATAAACTAGAAAAAAGTAATAACCTTTCCCACATGCCATCAAATTCTTTTGTAGGAAGAATCCATTCATTGAAGCTGGAAGACTGGCCATCAGAGCTTATATCCTCACATGAACCTTCCTCGCTAAGCTGACAAAGAGAAATTGACTTCAAAAGTCACTTCCAAAACAATAGTATAATTGTGCTTTATCTTTCAAAGTGAACCCTCCTTACTTTAGAGGAGCTAAATCTATCCCTCTTCATACTCATAAGGATATGACAACCAAGGAAATGAGACTGAGACCAGCACATATGCAACAAAATTAAGTCAAGAGTATCACCTGAAAAACATGTACAATAGGCTTGACTTGCCAGAACAAAAGAACATTATCATTGTGCCTCCTTCATCTACAAAAGAGTTACATTTTACAAAATCAGAACAGTCACCACATAATGAAGTATCGTCCCTCTCTCTCCATTTAGTGAATTATTCAACATAATTTACTACTTTATTATGCTAATTGTTAAAACACTCAATGTCACGATGGGACTAGAAGTCCTTTTATGCAATTTCAAATTAAAAAAAAAGTAAAAGAGAAATAAAATCAATAAAGGTCCATCATTTCGAACTGTTCCTAAACCCTAAAACAAAACAACAAAATTGCATACTAGTGACACAACCGCAAACAAAAATTCTTTGCACGTTATCTATGAAAAACACCTCATCAAGAGGCACCGGAATGGGTCCATCGATATAGCTCAAACTCCTCTATTCAAGCATCCTGCTAAATCAAGAACAGAAATAATCACAATTTGGAATAAAACCAAAACAGAAACTTTAATTTCTAATTTGGGAAAGAAGGGCAAGGGGTTACCTTCAAAGCCGGAACAAACATCTTCAATTTTATCGGTCGTGCTCACCAGACAGGTGCAGTGCGAGGTCGTTGATACCAGCGCTGCAGTGGACGGAGAGCGTGGTAAGATGGACGAAGTCGTCTGCATCAAAAATGGCGACGGAGCCAGCGTCGTCGGTGGAGATGAGGTTGCGGGGGAAGTGGAGATTGGGAGGGGCGTAGAAGGAGAGGGCGGTGACAAAGGTAGAGTGTTGGTGGAGGGAACCGAGGGAGGAGGCGACAGAGAGGTCGTAGAGGTGGATAGTGTCGTCGTCGCCACCGAAAGCGACGATGGAGCCTAAGACAGCGACGATGGAGCCTAAGACGGCGACGATTTTGATAGAGGAGAGGTGGGAAGGGTAGCAGAAAAGACGGGTTAGGGATTGAGATTGGGGCTATCTATGATCAATTATGTAGTAGTGAGATGAACGAAAGAGAAGAATGAGACTGAGAGGCAAAGTAAAATGAAATATAGGGAGGAAAATGTGAAAAATAAGCGAGGAAGAGATATTATATCTGAATTTTAAAACTCCGTTATAATAAGTCAATAATAGGTTTTGCATTTTACAGGTTTTACATTTATTTACAAGTTTGCCACCGTATATTATATTATAACTGATTTTTAAAACTACGTTATAATATGTCTTAAACTTATTTACAAGTTTGCCACCGCATTTTATATTATAACTGATTTTCAAAACTACGTTATAATATGTCTTAAACTTATTTACAAGTTTGCTTTCATGTTATAACATATTTACAAAACTACGTTATAATATATCCTATTATAATGGATAATTTTTATCCGTTATAATAGGTTCGTTATAGAAAGGTCTTTTTCTACTAGTGATGTATGCGAAAAGGCAGTGTTATCTCGGAAAGGGGAAAGTCCTGAGCGTTTATTTGAAAAGAAAAGGGGAGGCGCTGACGACAGCAACAACGTTGGCAATTTTGATACTTATTATATGTTTCATACCGAATAAACCTACAATTGTTTTCGTATATAAAAGTATCAAATATAAAAATTCATTAAATAATATTAGTGATGTGAATTAAAAAAAAATCTCTAAATATCCATAAAAGTATTATTATTAACCTTAATAGAAAAAAATTTAGGTGATATCTATATAAAATAATAGTCTTATTAACATCAGGGAAGAAAACTCTAAAAACTTCACCTAAAAAATATATCATTTATTAGCTTCAACAATGACGTGCACTTGAAAATACTTTCGAATAAAAAAAATTGAAGGTATAAACCAATAGTTTTTCGAATTTGTATACTATTATTCTTTGATATTCAATTGCATACTGTAACATCCCAAAATATAGTAATTACCATAATTGAGAATTAATTACAATTAACAGTAAACATCAAACAGTCTTTACATTAATAAAGCAGAGTTCAAAAGCCGAACGGCTTGAATAAAATAAAAAAAAAATAGCGTACGCTCAAACAGAAACAGAGATAATTAGGACGAACGGCTTTACAAAATACTTAGCCGAACGTTCAAACTACTCTAACATTTACAGTACTAAACTAACGAGCGCTCTAAGGCTCGGCCTTTACTTCCACTTCCACCAGATTTGCATCTTCTAAATTTTCTTCTTCCAGTATTTCTTCAAGAGATGCACCCCCATCTGCTCACATCCACACGGATGATCATTGCAAGACAAGACGAACGTACATGGACAATTGACAACACAAGGAAAACGAAAGGGTAAGCTTATAATATTTAATTCATACATTCAACATACACATTCAACATTTCAATGCACACGCACAACATACAATTGAACATAATCCATCATAGTAATTTATAAGTATATAATAGACGACCGTCCGGACTGTATGAACCATGTAGCTACAGGCGTCCTTGCACCCGAGTGATGTAGTAACTGGGATACACTCAACAGCTGCCACTCGAGGTTAGCCCTATCCAAAGTACCCCTAAGGAATAGAACCTCCTGCCATTCCCACACATGACTACCCCCTTCTACGTGAAGATGAGTATCACGGAATATCAGGATGGACCAAGCCAGCATTAGCTAACCACAGTCATACTTTACCAATTTAATATTTAACATATCTGAGACATTCCTCCTTGGAACGCTCGTTCAAATTCCATAATCATAAAATCACTTAATATAACGTTCGCACTGTAATTTATCATAATTCATAATCAATCTCATCTTTAACTTTAAGAGTACAAAAGGACGAACGTTCAGTCCTTTGAAGAAAATAGGACGAACGTCCAAATACAGTACTGGATGGACGGACGTAACTCTCTGTTTGACCAATTAAATGAACTGATGCCAGTATTGAACGAACGTAAGAGGATAAATATTCAAATGTTGGAACGAACGCTATTTTGAACGAACGCTTCGGTATCAGACCGAGCGCTGTTTAGGACGAACGCTTCGGTATCAGACCGAGCGCTGTTTAAGACGAACGCTTCGGTATTAGACCGAGCGTCATTTAGAACTATCGTCCGACATAAGACCGAACAATATTAAGGACGAACGTTCAGTAAAAGACCGAACGCTATAAGGGCGAACGTTCGACAGAAGGCCGAACGCTATAAGGGCGAACGCTTCGGTTAAAGACCGAGCGTTACGTATTTATAAAGTTTCAAATATTTATAAACAGCTGAGCTGAACGAACGCTCAGACATCCAAATGGGGACGCTCGTTCTCGAGCAGAATTCTTTCCAAATGAAGGAATTCCATTCTAAGTTATTTTAAGGAAAACCGAACGGTCTAAGACCGTACGGTGACGAGCGTCATTTATCAAAGGGGATGATTTAAGTTTCAGATTTCTCAAACTTAACAAATTTCCAGATTTCAACCTTTAAACTTATACTTTATGCTTCATAGGATCTTCAATTTATAAACTTTATAACATGCATTCCAGTAACTTCATATTCAACATCAAAATACAGATTTACTTCATACAACATAACATCCATTTTTCATACGTATCAAACCAACATGCAGATCAATCAAAATCAGAACTCATATTCCATAACAGTGATCGTCCATACAGCTCAAACATCATACATGCAATCCAGATTACACAACATGCAAGTATAAATTAAACATATAAGCTTCCCTTACCTGGATAGCAGGGTTCGTTCAACAGCAAAGATTTGATTTGTCTCTTAGACTTTCTACCCTCAGTTTCACTAACTATCTTCACTTGATCTAAACATCAAAATCAGAGATTGCTTAAAAATAGTTCATGCATGAACCGAGGACATGGTTTCGAATGAAACCCTAACGGAAGAACTGCTAGCGAAAGGAACTTACCAGCTTAGAATCTAATTCTGTTCGGTCCAAAGTGACGAGCACAGCTGGACGAACACTCCTACGGTTCTGAAATGGAATTTGGAGAAAGCTTGGTGAGTTACAGTAGAGAAAAGTTTACGAAGCTTGAAAGTTCTAGAGAAGTTTGGAGAAGTGAAGGTGGGTTCTGTGAGGAAGAGATGATGATGGGGGCAGGTAAGAGAGAAATTCTAAAAATCCAGTTTTTGTAAATTCATGTTCGTTTGAGCGAACGTATCCCAGCTGGACCCCTGCCCACTAATTCGAACTGGAAACTTCTTCTGCAACACGTGGCGGTGTGCATGTAAGCCATGTGCGTTTTTCCAGAAATGATGGAGCGCGTTTCAGTGAGCAGCAGAGGGAAGGATAGATTGGGATGGGTTTTTATTGAGATAAGCATGGATTGGGTGCATTAATGGTGAATGACAGGTAATTTACAGAGTAAATTTTCAAGGGTCGTACAATAGTTGTTTATAATCAATACTATATTAATTTAACATTTAATTTTTTAAAATATTGACACTTTGTTATATTTATGATGACACTAGTGATTATTTAAAAGCACATAATCTTTATAAAAAAAAAATACTAATATTAGAATATAGTGTTATAAGTTTTTCTTATTTGATTTTATTCTTTATTTTTTTTAGTACAATGGTTTTTGCAAATAGTTCTTCCTTAATAGATTAAAAAGATAAATAAGAGTAGAAAGGAAGAATAAGTTATTTTAAAGTAATTTTTATCCCTTCCTTGTTTATCAATAATTAATCAATATCTTAAAACTAGGACTGTCAAAATGAGTAATTTGGTTTGGTTGACCACGGGTTAGTCACTTAGTGAACAAACTCAACACAGCTCACTTATTAGCGAGCTAAAAAAATTCGAACCCGACCCGACCCACCACTGATTGATGAGTTAAATGGATTGACTCACACGTCATGCTAAAATGATGTTAAACTCCAAAGAAAATTCAAAATAAAAAAAAATATCATACAATCCATGCGTAATTCAAAAATATGTACAAAAAGCGAAAAAATAAGTTTTTAATATTGATAATTTTTGTATTATTTTTTCATTTATAATATTAGAGTCTTGAATAGATAAATCTATAATATTTTTCTCTCTTGAAATATCTTCTTTATCACCATCTACAATATAATAAAACAAAAGACTAACTAATAATATTAAAACATAAAATAATAAATAATTAAATTAAATTAAATGGATTGGTGAGCCAACCTGATTTCACAGGTTCAACCCGGTGAGTCGAGTTGAAAAATTAATCCACATAAAAAAAATTACATTTTTTTCAAAATCAATCATATTCAATTCCTGAGTTACAATACATCTTAACAGCAACTACTTAAATCATAAAAGTTTTTAAATTAAAGGATTAAATGGACATGACAAGTGCTTACGAGATAATAGCGAACATATTTTAGCAATCATAGTATTTTTGTGAATTATACTAATTTTGTTGATTATTAATTAATGCTGTAAGAACATTAACGTGGACAAAAAGTTTGCATAGTTCTAGCTCCCTCTCGTTTTCTTTTTCATTTTTGTTTTCTCTTTCTTCCATTTGGCGAACCGAGGACGACAAGAGACATTACACACATTTTTCCACAACTTCCACACGTCTCTACCTCTTTTACTGAGCCATCATACACTCAGTAACAATCTTCTTTGTTTCACATCTACTTGCAACACAGACACCACATGTGACATGTCTAAAAGGTTATATAAGGAAAACTGAGAAAACTTAAAGTAGGAGAGAAAAATAATGAGATTTATGATAAAAAAAATATATTAGAAAACTAATGTTAAATTGATTGATTTTGGCAATAAAATATATTTTTTATTTAAAATTTAAGAATTATTGTCACTTATGTTCTAACTAAATATAATTAACTTTTTATGTTACCGTTAATTAGGTTAATTTAACAATAAATTAAATTCATAATCAATTATGAAATATATATATATATATATATATATATATATATATATAATAAACTGTATGAGCGTGTATTTTATTTTATTATTATAATAATATTTCAAATAATAAATGAAATTATATTACTTTTTACCCATGTTTTTTTAATTAACTTTGTTTTCTTCCATTCTTT